TAAAATTAAGGGGAAGTAGATTGACATTTCACTCACTCATGAACCTCATTGAATGACATTGGCTTAGCCTACCTAAAAAGATTTTATGTGGATAAATTTCCAGAAGAATCATAGAAAGGGCAAATTATAAAGAGTTGCACATTTTAATCATATATTACTGGGGAATATTTTAAATAATCATAGATTTATAGTTTTTTAAGAGAAATATGTTGTATCATTACCTTAAAAAATTTCTTTTTTATTTAAAATTATATAAAAACCTTTTAACTAAAAAATAGCAAGGAGTGATGAACCATTAGTTGTGATTCAATAGATTCTTGGTGGGTTTATTGATTAAAATGTTATTCATCATATTCCAGAACGAATTTAACAATACTGGTAAGGAGAACTTGTCTGAGAAGGTATATTATACCCACAGTGTTTGGTTTATCATAATGCATTTGACAGGTCTGCTTTTGTATATGAATCCACCTAAATTTACAAATGAGAACCTCAGAAAGATACTTGGAGCACATGATATCTGTGCAAATTCTTTCCTCCTTTCAATTATGCTTATCAGAGTCTGATCTGGGCAAACTGAAAAATAATCATGGCAATTTTGCCTAACACACAAGTTAGATATGTTAAATCTTGCAATGGAACTGGGGTAAATGGTTGTCAGTAGCTCACTACATGCAGGAAACATTACAATAAATGAAGAAGCCTGTGTTTTCTCAGCACCAAACAATCAGAGCTTTATAAAGTTACATTTATGAGAAATAGAAGTCTGAGCTAGCAGTTGCACTGCTAATACATCTTCATTTATAGTTCCACACTCAGTTTCCCTGCCATTTTCCCCGATATTCTAGACTCTAGGCAGTATTTAATGCTTAGACATTTCCCTTAAATGTTCTACTTCATTACACCATTCTATATACTATACTTTGGCACAAAGTGAATTAAACTGAATGGCATGCAGGGCTGCTTCAAGAAGAATTCAAGGTGCATCTAGTTTGACATATTCTGATTTAGCCTGAGGCTACATCAGAATCTCCTGCTGATTTGGAGAATGGAATCCAATTAGAGAAGAATGAATGTGGCATTCCCTTTAAAGGGGAGAAACTGGTAGGATTTTATAATCCAATATTTTTCTGACTTTTTCTAAAACATACCCCCATAGAGGGTAGAAAAGAGCAGAGGAAATGTAATCCTCAAGTTGCCACTGTCATAAATGAGCAGTCCCCTTTTTGTCTGCTGGCTACATGATCTCCATCAGTTACAGTTCATATCATACAGCCCATGTCATGGTACGTCTTGGAGGACAACACTTGGTAATCACAGAGTAGTTTGTATTATCCTCACATTCAGTACTGATGGAAAGAAGTAGAGCAATATAGGTACAGTAAGACGGGCTGGAAAACTACAACTTGAAAACCAGTCAGCACTAGGGAAATATGAAGTAATTATTTGATTTAGTATAAAACCACTTCCTATGTTTTTACTATAAAATAGTTGGATTCATATTCACTGTCATCACAGCAAATGATGGTTTAACTGTGATTATTTATTTGCTTTAAAAAATGTTCAGGTTAGTAGTGGAAATAAACATGCTCCAAATCATAAATATCTGCCATTTCCAGGGTTCTGTGCTCATGGGACTGTTTAACATGATTGATATCCTCATTTACTTTTATGACGAAGATCATGTGTATGTATATGTCTTTATATATGCAGATTACTTGCCTCTGCTGAGCAATTGTTCAAGAGATTTGTGTCTATGGCTTAGCAGTAACAATGGTCTAGCTTAAACTATATGACACCTATTTATTAAACTTTGCCCCGAGAAGTTGGGATAGATGGATGAATGTATGTTTTGTTTGGCTTGCATTTGAAAGTGTTGCTAATCTAAACCGAATCTCCTGGATGATGTATGGACTATAACAGTCACCCTTCAGAATTCATATCAGAATGGTATATATAGTCCATGTTCCCTTAAACTCTTAAAGCAGAAAGATATATTTCTGAAATACATACATAAATTTAAAATGTTCATTTAAAATTTAAAAACAATATATAATAAATTAATAGATGCAAACTGGAAATAACCAAACTCATTCATACCTGTAGATAAATGGATGAACAGAAGGGTAAAACTCCTTTATTTTTTATGTCTGAATATGCCATTTAATACATGGCCTATTATAGCATTATAGAATTTTGATACATGCTTTATTTCTACCAGTGCCTTCAAAGTGGAAAAAATGAAATAACAATAACCTCACACTAACATTTTAGTTGGTACATTTTCTTCCTCTATAGAATTGACCTTGGGCATCTTGGTATTAAGTCAAGAAATAAATGTTTTAAGTATATAAACAATGTATCATGTTTTTGCAGGTGAATGGGTTTTTGAAATCTGGTTGTCCAGTATGAAGTTTAAGAAAAGGCCAAGCTGAAATGTTGTTTTTTATTTTAGCAACACCTTACCAGGAACAAAAAGAACGAAGTAAAATAAGTATGGAAAAAAAGAGTTCTGTGGAACTACTGTCCTCTATATGCACATTAGAGTTAGTATTGATTCAGTTATTGCTTGGAATGCAATAGATTATAAATTCACCTTTTAAGCACAACAACTTTCTTAAGATGGTAAAATGTTACTGAATAAATATGCATTTTAAATGGAAAATTTCCAAAAAAATTAAGTCAAATTAAGATTTGTTGTGTAAGTAATGGTTGCATAAGTTAAATTTAACAGTAACTGGTGTGTGATGGGGTATCACTGAAAAAAAATCAGTTTTCAAATAGCAAAAACATGCAGTAATATCCATAATGATCTCCAACCTTGTTATTCACAGTCATTGATGTGCTCTAGGAATCAGCTGACCACTCAACTTGGAATTTAGTTCTAATATTTAAATATCTGAAAGGATTAAGAATTTGCTACATTATAAGTAAAAAAAAGCAGTCCTTGTAGATCTGGTCCTTCTTTGATCCCACTGGCAAATGATTCACTTAAAATGTCACAGACTCATCTCGGTTATCTACAAAGTCTTACCAAATGCAATCTACATTAAAGGTACCTCTTCAGTAAAAAGAGAAAACTAGAAAATTAAAGGAAAATTATAATTTTCCTATTTTTACTAATGCAGTTTATTGCTACTGGTTGTTTAATTAATATAAGAACTGAAGTTATGGAATTATTTGAAAGTTGAACCTGAAGATATAGTTCATGACTGATGATACATTATAATTAAAACCATAAAATATATGAACTATGTATTGCCAATCCAAACTTCTTCGTCAGTTCATATGGCAGCCTTAGAAAAAGAACTATTTTTAGGCCGCACCCATATATACATGTAGAAATATGAAAATAATCCTGATCCTATTTTACACAGTTCCCATAAGATCATGATTTGTTTCCTTTAATCTCCAGTAATTGTGGGACTGCAACATTCATCTTCATCAGGCAGCATGGCCAAAATAACCAATATTCAAGAATGATAGGTATTGTAAACCAGCACTGTCTGTAAGAATCACTTTGATAATGTTTGATGCCTAGTCTCAACTTTGGTAGGGAGTGGGTGAAAAAAATGTTTGTGTAGGTTTATTATTTATTTATCTATTTTTGCACAATGATTTAGTAAAATTATTGTATACTAGACCACCCATAAGTTTCAGAAATATTCATGGGTGACCAAAAGTTCAGTGGTAGCAAATGTGACTTCTAACTTTCTGTTGACTTTTTTTTTTCATTTTATTGACATTTATAGGCTGCCCTTTTCCCTAAGGGGACTCAGGGCGACTTCCCAATCGAGTTTCCTGGTGGGGAGCTGGCAGTGTCAGAAATCCTCCCTCTTCTTTCCTTTCTTCTTCCCCCCCCCCCTCTTCCTTCCTCTATCCTCTTTACTCTCTTCTCTTCCTAGTGGTTGCTGTTGGGTGGAAGATGGATTGAGGAAGTGTGTGTGAGTTCAAAGAGTTCAAAAACCCCTTTTATTAATTTACTGTGAATTCTGCTCATTCACATCCAGCAAAGTCTTTCAAGGGAGGACTTATAGTCACGGACCTTATCTGCTTGGAGCTGCCAGGCCGATATCTGCAAAACTTGCAAGGAGTCTCAGAGAATCATGAACCAATTAAATGAACTAATTGTCTCCTGAAAACTCCACTCCCCTTTTGCTCCTCTTTTATTTCCTCTGGAAGGGACCATTCATCATCCACCTGTGGCCTTACTGCCAAGTCAACCCCTGTTCTTTAACTGTTTCCGTTGTATGGCAATTCTGCGCATGCGCACACTGGAAGAGGCTCCAGCTGTTCATCTGCCTCACTGATGTCTGACTCTGAAAGCAACTGATAGCTGGCATACGGCTCTAGCCCCCTCTCTGCCTCTGACACAGATCCCTCATCAGAGCCTTTCCCAGACTCCAGGACTGGCCCATGTTCTTCCCCAACCTCCTCACTGTCCGAATCTGCTGCCAGCTCTTCTGGCCACTGGTGGGCCACAACAGCTGGTGGAGGATGCACCATTTCTCCACTGACATCTCTCTTCAAGCTTCCCACAAGCAAAGGAAGTAGGAACGAGGAAAGGAGTGGTCGCCAATTATATCATTTTCTTCTGAGTTTCCCAATGATTTGTGGGTAACTCTCAGGGTATGTTAAAATGAGGATCACGTTACTATTATTCACTGTTATGGGACAGCAGCACTGAAGAGCAGCAGCACAGTGGTGCTGAAGTGGCAAACAATTTTCCCAATTTCATTTCTTTTTGAGTAACAGGCCCCAGCATTCTGTAAGTTAGCCCATTTGAGGTAGATCTGTTCATAGAGTTTTGCAGCATTTTGCCCAATTGAAGTTTTGGACACCAGAGTTTTAGTAGTTTATACAAAGAAGGTGGTCCTTTTTGTTGCAAGAACCAAAGAGAAAAGTCAGAGTTTTGAAAAGCAGATACTGAATATACTTTCTACTTTGTTCTTAGGAATTATTGATCGGTTCTCTGTCTCTTGCCATTCTTCCTCATGCAGAAAACCTTCCTACTGGTTTCTATTGCTCCTTTGAAGATGGAGAGTGTGGCTGGGCTCAAAGCTCATCAACTTCACCAAAGGCTCAACTGTGGCATATTGGGAATCCAGAATATCACCACTTTTGTTCACTGAAAGGTAGATTACAGTAATGTTATATAGCTGAGTAAACTGTTATGTCAAAGGAATTAGGATGTGATGGGAATTCTTCATTTTTTCAGCCATTATCATTTACTTTCATAGTTTGGGGGGGGGGGTGTTGTTGTTGCAACAAGAAGAATATTTTGTGAGAAACCAGAAAATACTTTTCTCATACAGCATTAGTAAGTAGAGTTCATATGCAACAGAAATGTATGGTTTTTTTTAGAAAAACCAAATAGGACTCATAGAAAATGCTCTTGTTTGAGATTAATAGCTTTAGTAAATTGGCAACTTTTAATTTGGTTATCAATGATGTAAATCAACAGAAGTGATGCCTTATCAACTTGATTGCTAAACCTAAGCAGGCCTGTCCCTGGTCAGTACTTGGAGAAGGCATTAGTTGAGAATTCCAAGACCATTCCAGATTGGGAACTCTAAATAAATAAAGAACTAAGATGAAAGTGAACCATTTCTGTAACCTGCAAGGAAACTGAATACAGTAGATGCAGTCTTCAAAAAATGAGATCAAAAGTAGTCCTCAACTTACAATGGGTCATATAGTGGCTGTTCAAAGTTATAACAGACATCCCCAAAAGTTACTTATGACTCAGTTTCAATGTTCTGGCTGCTGCAACACCCCTATAGTAATTCACCCTTATGATCTAGCTCTCCCAGCCAACCCACTCACTCGATTACTCAAGGGAATCTCAAACCAACTCTATTACAATTTTAACTCAAGGTCTACGTGTAGTATTTTTAAGCTTGCCAATGATATTAAATAACTGTAGGAAGAAAAGATTGTTTATTTACAACATTCAGTAACTGAGAGCATTGAATTACCATTCTTTTAGTGCTTTCTCCCAACCAGGTACCCTCCAGATATGCTAGACTACTATCCTTATCATAATCCACCCGCCAATTAACTGAAGTTTAACAGATCTTGAATCTGTCCTGTTGAGAATGAATGCTTTATAAACATATAAATGACCCTCATCTAGCTTTGGTGAGATAGTATTTCTTCCTCATTTATAGCAAAAATAGTTCATTTTATGATTCATACAGAATCATAAAAATAGATGCCTTTTTGATACAAATCACAATACTATACATTGTATGTGATTGAAAGAGATATCTTGGGTAATAAATGAAATTGCATTATTATATCTAAAGAATGTTGACAATGTCTAGCATAATATATAAGCCCACCCACGATTTGCATGTGCAGTTTCACATGAAGGGTCATTCCACAACTCTTGCAACACAGACACCCTGGCAGATTGTTGCTATACAAATCTTCCATGAAAACATTAACTAATTTCCCTCTAATCATGTATGTATCTTTTATCCCGTTTTTCTCTGCAGAATGTGCCCTTTTGCTTAACACCAGTGAGAGTCCCTTTGCAGAGACAGTTATGGTGACTAGTGCTGTATTTCCAGCTCCAATGAAGAATTCTCCCTGTGAGGCAAGTATGTTTAGATGAGTTTTTTTTAAAAAGGGTTCCAAAAGTGTCCCTTGCAATTTTATGAATATCTATGTCATCCTTTATTTTGAAAAACCTTGAATATAATTGGGGGGGGGGGAAACCGCATTCACCAGAATCACAAGGCAGCCAAGACCTTTGTCTATCTGCATGCCAGCTTTTGCCCATGCTGTGATTTACAAATGTAAACATACATAATGGAATCTTGGATCAATCATAGTGCTCAGATATACTCATAAAGTTATTAATATATGTGCATAGATAAATGCCATTGCTGTATGAGTTAGTATTATTTTTTTAAAAAAGAATATAATTTTAGTATTTATTGCTCTCATTCAGTGTAATGATAGCTACCAGTTTAGATGATCACTTTAAACATGGACTAGATAAATTGACAGAGGATGGGTCTATCACTAATAGCTGAACTTGATTGTGAAGTGGTTCCTAATCACAACATCCATTCCTTAACAGGGGTGGTATTCACTTACCTTCCCTACCGGTCCGCAAATGTGAGCATGCATGCGTGTGCGCTCTCTTTGCTCACACAGGCCACCTCTGTGCATGCACGCAGCCTTCCATGCATGTGCTTTTGGTGAAAAAATTGCCTAAACGGGATGCCATAGAGCCAGGGCAGATGGGTGGGGCCACCCACAATTTCTGCTATTGGTTTGGACAAACTGGTCCAAACTGGTAGAATACCATCTCTGTTCCTTATGTATAAGATGCTAGGGATCAAGCGCAAAAGACTGTCCCCCAGTCCATGGCTTGAGTTTCCTCAATGCCTCTGTTGACTATGGTATGGCACATAATTCTAGACTGGAGCAGTGTATATCAAGCTGTGTGTAGATTTCAGTTCCAGAATTTCCCAGCCAGCAAGCTGGTGAGCAAGATTGAGACACACTGAACTAGAGGGTGAACACTGATAAATCCCTGATAAAACCCACCATTTTCACTATCATCTTAGTATCAGAAATCAATCACTAATTGGAAAAGGTACCCGTCACAGTGGTAGGAATGTTGCTGGTCATAAAACAACTTGTTTTGAAATGGAAAATTAATTGTCTGCCTGTCTGTCATATTTGTATAACTATGTGAAACTGAGTTTAAATGAAACAGATTTGTAAACTAACACGATTTTATGGTCAACCCAGCAATATTGAGTTAAATCTTTAGTTTCCCCTTTCATCCTCAGCTGTGGTGATTTTCTAAGATTACAAAACTTTTGCTTTGTTGTCTGACTGCATTTGTGCCCAGCTTCTTTCATCTAATGAGATACTTACTACCTCCATCCAATTGACATGTAGACACAGATACTTTCGTTTGTTCCCCTGTTGTGTCTTGTCTTTATCCTTTTTCTTTTTAAGAGTCTCTCTTTTTCTTTCCCCCAGCTGAGATTCTAAATATTTAAAAACTTCATTTTGTCACAGCCCAGCAAGTGTGACTGTTTCTCATAATTTGCCTGCTGTCAATAGCTGGATGAATAATTTCCCAAGATGTGTTTTAATATGTCCATAAACAAGGTGAATAATTAAATTTTCATTTAAAAGGAGGTCAAGGAAAAAAGGAGATCTACTATTGTTTTACCTCTAACTTTTCCATGATGCTATTGAAAATGTGCTCATACAGAGCTAGCATTTTAGCTGTATAAAGATTCCACAGGCGACAAGGGGGAGGGAGAGGGAGAGAGTCTGTTGAATGAGAGTCTATATCGAGAGAGAGAGAGAGAGAGAGAGAGAGAGAGAGAGAGATATGATAGAGAGAGAGAGAGAGAGAGAGAGAGAGAGAGAGATATTGTGTAAAATTCTTCATTCCAAACAGGTTCTTGCTTGCAGCTTCATATACCTTTTTATTTGAGTAGCCAATGTGACTGGAATAATTCAGTAGCATTATTGAGCCTATTGCAAGGAAAGAATCAAGTCTTTGACCCTTAATCATTCCTGAGGAGGGATACAAGTGATCAGGTTTATTACAGAATAATAGTTGTGATAGTGAAATTATAATTTTGTTTCTCCAGATACCCGTTGTTTTTTTTTTGCTATCAGTCCTTTTTCCCAGTCAGTCAGGCTCAATTTTCTATTTGTCTGCATACAAGTTTTTTTTTTTTTAGCACTGACTGTTTAAATGAGCTTTTCAAAATCAGAGCATATTTTTGAGCAATTGGAATTTTCCTGAACCAGGTATCTCATTAAGAAAAATACATCTTACTGTTCAATCTATTTACCTTTCTCTTTTGGAACAAAAATCTGAAGGGGAACAACTTAGATCCTTACTCTGTATCTGCAAAAAGATCTAAGGTGCTTTTTGAGCTCTCAGAAAATCTGTTTCTGTACATTTCCAGGAATATATGCTGAGTCCATATTAAAATATTTGTTCCAAACAGGATAGCACCATGAGATCAGTTAACAGTTAATCAGAAGTCTCTGCAGATTGCATTTGCTTCGTATTTGGATCCTATCAAATCAACACATTTTGGATGGGAGGAGAAACATTGTCCTAAATCCTAGTATTGGATAATAAATGTAAAATGAGATTTGATACTTCTATCCATAGAATAGGACACACAGGAGGTCACATTATGCTAGGGAAAACTGTTTAGCTCATGATGGTCTACTTTGATTGGCAGCATCTGTCTAGAATCTCAGGTGGGAGCTTATTTTGAATTCTAAACAGCTCTCCCAATCTTGCCAGGAGAGTCCCAATACCACTCTCATTATACAAGTGTTTTGAGTTTCAAATGACTTCATTTTGAGTCAAAACACTTAAGGGATGGTCAGAACAATCTTGTAAAATTGGAACAACCTATTTTAAACTAGATTTTTTTTCTAACCTTGAAATATTTAGCATACTTTTATATAAAAAGAGACTGGAAATCTTAAACCTTTAAAACCAACCTAAAAGGTATCAGTCAGGAAGATGTGTGTGTGTATAAAACTATGGCAAGATCTGTAAATATGGAGCTACCATTTGAAAATAAACTTTCTTTTTATCCATTACTAAGAAATCTTACTCTGAAGCTGACAACTGTTCTAATGCATAAAAGGTTCATACCTAGCTGGATTAGTTTATTCTAAGCCATTTTGGACATTAGAGATTAATGCCTACACTCAGCTTCATGCTTTGTTTATCTAGTTCTTGCAAACATCTAGGAACCAAATCCTGAATGAGTTAGGCAACTCCATGGAAGGATCAGAAAATGGTCTAAATCTCCGCTTTCTGGATATGAGCATTGCTAATAAAAGCACCTTTAACAACTGATATTTGTCATAGTGCCGCCTATGATCACTTGATACATTGTAGCACCAAGCAGCACATTCTGTCTTCCTGGATGAAAAAGTCAGCAAGCATAGAATAAATCAGCAGTTCTTGGTATCAGCAAGTTGCTACTCTGTGGCACAAATGTTACAGGATATAATAGATCCTTGCAGTTCTAGGCAAAAACGTTTAGAACTGAACCCTGAACCAGTTAAAACTTCAAAGAGATTTTTAACAGGCAGTTCCAAGAAAGGATTATAATCCCAAAATGGTTTAAGACTCCTCTAACTTTGTCCACAATGAATAGACATTTATCCAGAATGGTACAGTCTCCTGCTTTAGGAGATTGGACTAGGTTTCCTCCAGCCCCTTTTATCCTCTTCTATTGCTGAAGCTACAATAAGTGACAGAAACTACATATTTGTTGCAGGCATTAGAAACAATCTTTTTACTCTGAACATGTACAGTATTTATATTCCATTTTAGACAGAATCATATTATTTCACTGAAATTCAATCTGCTTACAATTTTGTGATTAATTTGCCTTAATATACAAGGCTTGGCCAAAACTAAAACCTTAAAATGCTGTTCTTATGACATTGCCATCCCTTTCCAGAAACACAATGCTGAAAGGAGTTTCATTTCAATATGAACAAAAATGTGAATAGATCAGAGAAGGAGTTTCCTGCATGTTGAATCGTCATATATCTCATTTTGAGAGATTCCATCAGGCAAAAATTGTTTCCATTGGAAAGTGACAGCAAAATATGTGATCCTAATGATGTGTTCATCCTTCTTCCCATAAAACATGTTCTGACCTTGCTGTCCCAGGGGAAATTGAATGATCTAAATTTATGTTAGCTCAGTGTCAAATATATTCCATTGCAGGTACTATTTCACCTTCCATATATCTATCATATGATTAAAGTTCCCCAAAAGTTTTATGAACACGGAACTGTCATCACTGAATCAGGATATTATTGTTAGAAGGCAAACTTCATAGTTCTTTGGTCACTAATCTCTTGTCCAACAGATAATCGAGGTGGCTTCAGCCTCTAGCTGGATAGGGTAGAATTATAGAGTAGAATTATGAATCAACAATCATAGTCTTCCTTTCTATGTATGGTTTTACCTCTGCTAGAGGAGAGAAGGAAAAACCATTGCTCTTTTGCATATATGAATCATATAGAGTGCTGTTTTTAAATCAAGTATGGCTTAAATAGTGCAGAGATATGAACTCTCTGAACAGAGAATCTGAATGCCATTCAGGTGGAAACTCTAATCTTATAAACTGTATGAAGTATTATTGTTGATGCTGCATATTTTCTTCCTCTAGCATTACTTCTACCAATAGTGCATCCATCCAAGATAATTCTTAATTCTTAATTTCTAAGGAAATAAAATAGGAAAATTTATTTGTTTGTTTATTTATTTCCTGCTTAGTAAAGCACTGCCCTCTTTCAGAAACATTGTCATGAAAGCAGTCTCTTTAGGGGCAGGGTAGTAAGTGCACAAATTTAGTAGATACTATATTTGCGTAACTACCCTGCCCCTTATCTACTAAATAGATTATACCTACTATCATAGATAGTATAGATAGTAACTATCTGCAATAGAAGATATCCCAAAGGTATAAAATGTCCTAAAGAAGCTAAAAGTTTGTATGCATTTACTGTGTAATAATTTCTATATTATGTAGAAATTAACTTTCTGGCTATACTGTACATTTT